ACTACTATGGCGGCCACCACTGAGCGCCGCGGCGGCGCCGGCGCCCCGACGCGCTGAGCGCGGCGGCGCGGCGCGCCGGCGTGCCTGCCGCGGGGCCGCGGCGCCGGGGCCGCGGCGCGGGCTCCCCGCCTGCGCCGCTCGCCCTGGGCGGCCCGCCCCGGCTGCAGGCCTCTGTCAGAGCGCGTACAGTGCCCTCTGCGGAACCCGAACCCCGCGACCTCGGCTCCCTTTGTTCACCGCCGAACTCGGGTCGAACTCAAAGCAACCATCGCTACCCCGTGTTGACACCCCGCCTGCACACACCAACTCCTCAATGAACAAAAACACACTGCGTCCGGGGGCGGGCGGCCGGCAGCGGCCGGCGCCTCCCGCCCGCCTCCCCCCGCTGCAACGGCTGCGCAGCCCTGCTCCCTGTGCACTGGCCTGCTGCGTCGAACTTGCACCTTTCCTCCATACCTCCGGCGATACCTAGCCTGCCCCCTGCTGATTTCAAACGCAATTGGATTTCTAAGGATTCTTCTCGTAGCCTGCTGTGGCCCCGGCGCCTATCCGCCGCTCGCCCCATTTTCTTTGCCTCTCGGTCTCGCTTGTCGGGCTGCTGGGGCTCGCTCAGCCCGTGTACAGATCTGTCTTTGTAAGAGCCCCGTCACGTCCACACGCAGCCAGGCTGGCCAGAGGGGAGCAGAGCAGCGCTGCATGGCAAGGTGTGTGGTGGCTTGGGTATGGGAGGAGGCCCAGCCACCACGCCAGTGAACCAGCTGTTTCCGGTGCGGCATGGAACCGCCGGGTTAGGCGGGCAGGCAGCCGTACAGTTGCCATACCTTGACGATGGTCTGATGTGCCCATGTCTGGGGGCCGGCGAGATCCTTGCAGATCTCATCCGTCTGGCCCTGGCACACGCCGCATGGCGTCAGTTGTCCCGGCGGCAAGCACCGTGTACTGGCGCCCCAGCTTGGTACGCCGGGGGCTCGTTCATCGTGCGTCCTTTGAGAGCGGGTGAACCTGCAGTGCGGCCTGGCAATCCCTGTTGCAGTCCCTCCTCTTGGCTTCGAGTGCGCCACCTTGCCGCACCCTCTCAGAAACCTTCTGCTTCGTCGCCGATCGCTAGATCCCTCCATCGCGCCAGGACTGAGCTTCGCCCCATTGTTGCACCGCGCAAACAGGAGCAAGGGCCTCCACCGCCGCCTTCCCGCTGCCTGCCGGTCGTGCGCTGGAGGAGCGGCAGCCGGAAACGCCCTGCCATCGGGACATTGTGCACCGCTAGCTGAATGGCCCTGCTGCCTCATCTTGAAGGAAAGGGCAGGCATTTCAGAGTGTGGACGGTGTTTGCCGTGCTAGCAGGCTTGGCGGTGGTGCTGGTAAGCGAGGCCTGCCGGGCAATTCCTGCTTGCTCAGGCCTGCTTTCTCAGACTGCTGCCTGCATCCACGTGGGCGACCCCTTGCCTGCCGCCCCGCAGGTGGCCCTTGGCCCCCAATCAACCAAATGCAAGTGCCCGTCGGGAGCCGCAGCCACCCAGCATGGCACGGCAGCACCAGAGGCGTCCAGGGGCGCACCAGCCTGCATGCAGCCCAGCGACAGGGACTGGCTGAAGAGGCTCAAGACTGCTGAGCAGAAGGTGTTCAGCCAGAACGGCGAGGACGGCATCCTGCTGCGCATCCTGGCCAACATAGGGTGGAGCGACAGGCGGTACTATGTTGAGGTGACTCCCCCGCCCAAGCGAAGCGCTCCCTGGTACCGAGCCGCTCTCCAATGTGCAATTCCCCGTGTGATGCTGTGCGCAGTTTGGGACGGAGAGCGGCAACGAGTGCAACACCCGCATCCTGCGAGACCTGCTGGGGTGGAGCGGGCTGCTGATGGACGGCAGCAACGACAACCCAGGCATCAACCTGCACAAAGAAAGCATCACCCCGGTGCGCATGCATGGGTGGTGCACGCATGCATGGCAAGCCGGGTGCGTGGCGGCGCGCACCTGGCGCTTGCTGCTGGCTCTCCGGTTCACACCTTCAAATTCCCACTACCTCCGCAGGAAAACATCAACGACCTTTTTGCCAAGTATGATGTGCCGGAAGAGTTTGATGTGCTCAGCATAGGTGAGGGGCTGGATGTGCCCTGGAGCCCGCCACGCTGCCAGCCCCTACATCCATCTCGCCCGCCCGCCTGCCCACTCCCGCCCGCCTGCCTTCCCACCACGCAGACGTCGATTTCGATGATTACTGGATTCGCAAAGCGCTGGACCGCAAGTACCGCCCCAGGGTGGTGATCATGGAGGTGGGCTGGGCTGGGGGGCAGAAGTCCCGGCTGGGGTGGAGGGGCTGGTCGCTGCGGCAGAGGGCAGGCCTTACTTGCGTGGCTCCTGCCCGAGGCACCCCCTGTATCCTTGTGCTGCAGGTCAACGGCGCGTTACCCCTGGAAGACAGCCGCACGATCGACCCCACAGACAGCCAGCGCTGGCCCGCGCCCGGCGGCAAGGCAAGCACGCGGCGGCGCCGGCCCTGCCCCGCAGTGCCGCCACGCCTGCCCCCTCCCCCCCCGCCCCCCTCCATGGGCCGCGCCGACCTGCATCCCTGTTGCGCTGGCTGGCCCCCCATGTCGCAGACATTCTACTTTGGCTCCAGCCTGCGTGCGATCCGTGACCTCAACCGCCTCCTTGGCTACACACTGGTGGCGGTGGACGCGCAGGCCGTCAACGCTTTCTTCATTCGCGACGACATCCTGGAGTGCCAGGGAGCCCAGGTGCGGGCGCAGCAGCCCCATCAGCAGCATGGCGCTGCCGCTGCCCGCCGCCGTCGGCTGCCGCCACACTGCCCTGCACCGCTAGGGGCGCCTCCGGCATGGCTGGTACCCCTACCTACAGGCACGCATGCTGCCTCCAGCCCTGCACCTCCACCCTGTGGGCCGGCATTGCCGCCATCGCGCCGGCGCGGCGCCAAGGGCGTTTGCTCTGTGCCTGTGCCCGCCCTGCAGCCGCTGCCGATTGAGGAGCTGTACGTGCACAACCCGCCGGCGCCCAACGTGCCGGAGACAAACCAGACGCGGCAGTGGCTGTTCCTGGACGAGGCGGGCAACGTGGTGAAGAAAGAGTTCCGGCCGGTGTGAAGTGGCTGCCAGCTGGCGGCGGCGGCGGCGGCGGCGGCGTTGAATGGCCCCAAGTGCTGGCCCTTGCCCTGTTCTGGAAGCATATCAACCAAGTTGCAATGCGTGTCATGAGTGGAGTGGGGCCATTTGGCAACGCATTTAAGCCCGCCTCCCAGGCTTTCCTCTCACGCCACCCCCTACTGCTAGCCTGGTGCACTGCTGGCCTGCCGCTGCTGGGACCCTCTTGGATGGAGCAGGCTTCGAGGGGGAGAGCAGCAGAGCAGCGGGCGGCAGCGAATATGGGCAAGGGCCGCCCATGCCGCAGGAGCCAAGCAGCGAATGAGCATGGCATGCATTTCTCTCCCTGGCGCACGGCACCACCAGCCGACCCAGGCTGGCGGCGTGCCTGTCCGCCTCCCCGGGTCAGGGTCCAGCCTAATGGTTGCTGCGTGTTGGTCAGCTGGTGTGCACCTGCTTACCAGTGAAAAGCTCTGGGCGGCAAGTGGCTGCTGCTGAGCAGCACTGTGGGCGACGAGCCTGCTGCCACAGCTTGAGAAGTCCACTTTTTGCGCTGCTTGTTGCTGGCCTGGTCAGAAGTGTTCCATGGAAGTGTAACAAGCGCCCCCAGAGCAGGAACTGTGTGAAACAAGAAAGAGCCAGGGGTGAAACCACGGGGGCCATCACACCGCCATGGTGCTGTCGGCTCTTTCAGCGTCCAGCGGCCGCAGCAGTTGCTGCTTCTTCGCCGCATTTTTCGCTCGACTGTACGCCACAACTCCGCTGACGGTGATGGCGTAGCCCAGCACGGTCGACGTGTTAACGGGGTTGTGGAAGTAGAGCACTGAGATCACGGAGGCCACAACTCCTTTTGCTTGCCCTAGGACCTGCACACACTCGTCGCAATTCAGTCAAGGCGTCCAAAAGGCTCCAACTCCATCAAAGATGCCCACCTGTAATGTGAGCGGTGACGTGTGCTTGGTGACGAGGAAGTTGAACAGATTTGCGAGGTATGCCATGGAGCTGTTGAGGATGAGCAGGAGCCAAAAGGCTGCATGGGGGAAGGCACAGCGGCCAAGCGTGGGGTATGCACACCAATGGGGGCAAAATCCAACATGCCTAGTGCCCAAACAGGCGGGCCATGGCCCATCTCACCATGCACAGCTGCAGGTTGGGACGGGGGGGATTCTGTTCAGGCAAATGCGCAGGCAACCACGCATGCTCATACGCACCCCTGTTCTGCCCCAGCTTCAGCGCCACCGAGGCGGCCTCCGGCTCGAAGAAGAGGGTGGCTGGGATGAGGGCGACCACGGCCACGGGCGCCATGTACATGAGCAGGCTCAGGCTGTCGATGCGGCGCGCGTGGTCGTCCGCCGACAGCAGCATGCCCTGCAGCACGCTCTTCAGCGCGCGCGCCCCGGTGGCGGCCACCGCCGCCAGGAAGCCAAACAGGTGAAACAGCGGCTCGGCGTGAGAGGCCACGATGATGCCCACCACGATCGGCACCAGCGTCAGGTACACGAGCGCCGTCTCGCGCTGCCGCGCCACCACCAGCGCCAGCACGGCGGTGAAGGCGGGGGTGGTGGCGCCGATGGCCTGGGTGAAGCTGACGGGCAGGAACTTGAGGCTCACGTTGCCCAGCACCACGGTCAGGCAAAAAATCAGCGCCAGCAGCGACACCTTCAGGAACTGCTGCTGCGTCCACTTCACGGCCTGCACCTTCACCAACCCCGACGCAGCCACCACGTAGCTCAGCGCGGAGCAGGCCAGCATGTGGCATAGCGTCAAGAACACGGGGTACCTGCGGGATGAAAATGGGGAGGTTGGGGGTGGGTAGATGATAGGATCAAAAGGCCTGGTTGAAGGAGGGTAGGCGAGTGTGGGGGGTGCTCCAGAGCGTTCAGGCCACCCGCATAGACTCACTTGAAGCCGAATAAGCTAAGAAGGTACTTGTTAAGCAGTAACACGCCGATGTTGCCGCCATACCTGGGAGCGCGGGGGAGGGGTGCGGCGGCGTTGGTCAGGCGGCGGTGCTGCCACTGCCCAGCGGGGCGTGGGATGGGCGGCAGCAGCGGGCGGCAAACACACAAGGCGTCATGCCAGCTGTGCGCTGGCGGCAGTTGAGTTACCAGCAAACGATTATAATTGCAGTCGCGAGTGTCGAGGACATGAGGTCGATAAAAAGATAGCTTCTGGGGCCCAACCCCCTATTGGTTGCAGCTGCTCATCCCTGCCACACTATGGGGCCTGGCTCACGCCCCCTGGGACCTATCACAAACCAGCCGCACAGCTGCGCGTGATATCAGCGGCAGTACCGCGGCTCCAGCTGCGGGTACACATTTGAACAAAAACTCAGTTCCTGCTTGCAAATGCCCACATTGATATGCATAGGAGAAGCATTTGCTCGTGGAGGGCAGAAACATTTGTTGAAATGCATGCCGATGCCTTGAGATGTGGACGTATTTGCATGACGAAAATGAAGGCTGGCGACGCCAACCACGCGCATCAGGCCGCCTGTGCCGCCTTCACCCGCTGGGGCTGCCGCTCCAAGTCCAGACCCAGGCGGAACTCGGCGCAGTTGTGCATCGCCGCCTCCATGCCGGGGTCCCGCCATCGCGCTGGCTGGCACGCAGCCACCTGGCTCACAGTGCCGTTGCGAGGCACACAGTCAGCCAAGAACCAGGTGCCCTGGCCTTGAAAGAGAGGCTGCTTGCCGCTGTACCCCGTGCAGATGGGGTGCAGATAGAAAACTGCAGCACATCACAGCGGGAGTGGGTGTGATGCAATGCTGAAGCACGGCAAGAGGCTGCGAAAGCTGCATGGAGGCAAGCTTTGGTCTTCTCACTTGCGGGGTCACACAAGTCCAGGGGAGGCAGGTTCCCCCCCCGCGCCAGGGCGCAGCCATCGTTATAATAGTGTAGAAACTGGGTGTTGTACGTTTGGAGCAGGGGGTGCGTGTCTGTCTTGTTTTCTCGACTGATCTGCACAGATGGGCGCAGAGGGATGCGCAACACGACACCATCAAGGCAAGAGGGAAAGCTGAGTCCCTAATCCTGGCAAGGGTTTTAATGTTTGCCCCGAGTCGACCAGCATATGCAGCATGTGCCATCCTCAAAGTACAGGCCAGCCACCCTGCTTGCAAAAGGAGGCAGCCGGCCCACCTGCTGCCGACCCGCCCTGCAGGTCTCCTTGTCCTTGCAGACCAGGAACCTGGTGCCCTGAAACCGCTTTGCCCACTCCTGATCGTGCTGCCCCGCCTTGATGGCCTCCTTGGCAAATGCAGCCCACTCCCTCACCATCTTGACAGTCGCAGGGCGGGGCAGGATGACAAAGTTGCCGCCATTGACTGCACATGGGTGGTGAAGGAATGTTCGTGTTGACAGCTTGAGCTCAGTGTTGGGAGGCTGAGGTCAACGCCAGCCCACGCCAGCCGCACCCGGCTCCTCCCTCTGAAAGGCGGCATCAGCCTGCGACCGCTCAATCAGCTTCATGTAGCTGGCCCACACCGGCTTGAAGGTGAACACGATGTCGCTGTCTGCAGCAGGCCAGCCGTTGCAAGGCATCTGGGACGACGCAGGTAGAGCAACACGCTGGGCATCGGAAAGAGCCTGCACGTGCATGCACCTGCACATGCATGTACCTGTATTGAGCACGGCAAAGCCCTGTTCAAGCATGTGTGCGATCACAGCAGGCCGCACCCAACAGATGACCTGCAGCAGGAGCGGGTGTGAATGTGGGATCCCGACCGACTCATTGTGTTGCCTCACGGCATGCACGCTGCAGCGACCTCACATTGTAGTCATGGGTGCCGTAGTCGCCAGCATTTGGGGCATGGTCCAGCGGCTCTGGGAGAAAGCTCGATATGTCGGCACAGGGCAGGTTCAGGTCGGCGCATGCCTCCAGGTCTTCCGAACTCCACGTGCCCACAATGTAGTTGCGCACGCCGCCAAATTTCACCATGGAGTAGACTGTGAGTCACAGAGAGCCCACGCGGTTGGCAGGAGCAGGAAAAAGGGGACTCGGCAATGCAAAACCAATGGTCACTTACTGCAGTTCTGCGCCATTTGTGCAAATCTGTTGTTGAAGGTGAGGAAGGCGATTGCCTTGGAGTAGTTGCCAACTGGCGCCGACCTCAGCTCCAGCAAGCGGTCCAGGGCGTGCACACCCACATACTTGAGTGCCTTGGTGCGCGGCGGTAGCAGCCAGGGCGCCGCCTCGAACTCGGCCAGTACGCTGCCGTCGCTGTCTGCTACAGTGGGGTCTGCCTGCAGGATGAAACAGCGTCAGCAGGTAGCTTGAAAGCAGCACCTCTTCTGGTACACCAAAATCAAACCCCAGCTGCCTGCCCCACCTGCAACTTGTGAAAGATGGCGAGTGTAGGGACGTGCATCGGCATGGTGCCAGGCGGGAGGGGGGCGGGCCCGCCCACCGCATCGCCACGAGACAGCTCTCCCGCCCCATTGCACTGGGATTTCACAGATGGTGAGGCAGCTGGCCAATGGTCACTGGTTCTGCACTCAGTGTGCAGCAGGTGGTGCGCCCGTCACAGTGTCACAGTTGAGGCCCAGTCGGAGCGCGTCAGAACAACGGCGGGCGGGCAGCAGCCAAATGCTTACCGGTCGAAGAGCAATCTTGCAACCAGCAGCAAGCAGAAAAAAGCAGCAGTTCGGGGAACGAGTCCGTGCTGCAGCAGGGGAATGCCAGTGGTTTCAAGTGAACCACACCCAATCATCAGTTCAGCCGTGACCAATCGTCGCTGCCGATAGGCTGTAAACTGCCCGTGAGCGAGCACACCATAGCATGCATATCAGGGGCGCCGAGACCGTTGATAGCTATGTCTCTTGCAGGGAATGGGAGGCGAAAGTCCTCGCTGCAGACCGCACCAATGCAGGCTAAAGAGCTCCTTGCATTGCCCTGGGCAGCTGCAGAGCCTCATGGTTACATGATTCATGTGACTGCACGCAAAGCGGTTATCGTGCCTCCACCGACGGTCGCTGCAGCTCTTCCTTTGCGTATTTTTTCATGTCCTCATCGAACGTGATGCGCGTGGGGAAGTCTTCCAGTTTTGGAGAATAGGTTATGAGCTTGTGCATCTCCTCCATCAGGACCTGGATGCAGATCCAAGAGCAGTTATCCCTGCAAAGATGTACGGCAGAAACTACCACCGTCACCATTCACCTTGAGGTAGCAATGCCGTGCCTCCTCGTTGAGATGCTCTCGTGCAAAGCGCTGTGAGTTCTGGCCAATTGCCTTCGCCATGTCGTCGTTAGCCCTGAGAAACTGCACAATGCGCTCAATCTCCTCGATGCCGTTGTACCCCGAGGGCACATAGTGCACCCAGGGCCTCAACGCCGGATAGAAAAACTCTGCGGCGAGCAGGAGAGGATACGGTATGCGCGGGCAAGTCGCACCATGCACGGCAGCACCGCGCCTGCAATGCTACCTTGGAGTGCGCTGTCTTGCTTGATGACAGTCTGCAAGCACGACGCAGCAGCGGTGTGAAGCCGAGGTGCGGCATAAAGGCAGCTGTACGGCAACCTCACACGTTCAGTGGAACTGCATTGTTTGCACCCCCACCCACCTGCCCTGTCGCCAGTAGCTTTTGGAAACGCCCACTACATCCCAGACCATCAGTGCTGAGGGTGTACTGCGGCAAAGCAGGGTCAGGGGGACATGACGGGCGAGCCAATGGAAACATGTGGCAGCACCGTGCCAGCGCACCACACTTACCTTGAAGCGCGCCTGCAAGGACAGCGCCTCGCGCTCTCCAGTGGAGAAGGCAGTCAAATTTGTGCCCAACGCCGACTGGTTGACATAAGCGGCGCGTATGCACTTTTCACTTCGCCCGAATCGGTCGGCCTGGGGGAGGTAGGCGCAGTAACCATGCCAATACCCCACTGCACGCTCCTCCTTCTGCTCCCAGGGGACGTCACCGCCGCCCTTCATCTTCTCCACCCACTCGTCATACTTCTGCAGGGTCGTTGGAGCAGACAGCAGGCAGCTGGTAGGGTTGAGGCCTTGCATGATTGCACCTCCTGCTGGCAACTGTGCAAATGCATCAAGCTGGAAAAAGCATGCTCACAAATTGGAGGAAGTGGCCATCAGGTATCAAAATATCATAGCTCTCGGGGCTGCGGCAATAAGTGAACAGCGGGCAGCGCCTGTCGCCGTCATCTTTGACCCCAAAAATGTCGCCCCATCCCACTGCAGCATGCGAGCATCGACTCTGTCGGCCATTCTGGTGTCAATGCACAGCACCGCATCATGCATCGTCGCAATCGCACACCCGTCGCCATGCCCACGCCAGCAAGCCTACCTACAAACTCCATGTTGGGCAAACCCCACCTGCAGAGCAGCATAGACCGGTGGGGGAGGGTTGGAGAGGTCATCACACCAAATCGCATGCATTTGGATGTGTGCAATGCGCACGAAGCAGAGAGGCACCATCAACGGCAGCTCACCTTTTGGCCACAGCCTGGATCTGCATAACCTGCCCATAGTCGAGCATCTGGAACATCTGCCGCCGCAGGCCGCCGCTGATGACCTGCTAAGCAGGCAGGGTACATCAAGGCAAAGCATGATACATCGATGCCTGAAGCAGCACCGGGATCGCAACACCGCTGTGTGAACGGCCCTGCGCTCGTACCCAGACTTCATTGTCCCACAGCAGCATCCGGAACTTGCTCTGGCCTGGGGTCCCCTGGTCTATGTTGAAGTCCTTTGGAGCGGCTGGCACACAGGCATCAAAGTCCTCCCTCCTGATGCCCCGAACAAAGTAGGGGCGGAGCAGGTCGAAAATGGGCGGATACAGCAGCTCGTGCTGGATGCACTCCTGGGGCAGCGTGTAATTCTTGGGTCGTAAGAACCGGAGCTGCGCCTGGCCGCTGCCGCCGTCCTTGTCGGCAGGCTGAATGGAGCCTGGCGCACCCGGGGCCTGCTCGGCTGCCGATGCTGCCATGATCTGCTTGATGGCAGCTGCCGGCGAGGCAGGCGGACACTGCCATTTGGTTGCCTGGGGGCCAAGGGCCACCTGCGGGGCGGCAGGCAAGGAGCTACCCACGTGGATGCAGGCAGCAGCCAAAAAAACAGGCCATTACTGCCCGGCAGGCCTCGCTTACCAGCACCACCGCCAAGGCTGCTAGCACGGCAAACGCCGTCCAGACTCGAGCGCCCCTACTCTTGCCTTCAGGATGAGGCAGGGTGGCCATTCAGCCAGCGCGCATCTGCAGGTCAGCTGCCGCTCCTCTGTCCAAGGGCGGGAGCGCGACGGTGGCGGCGGAGGCTCCTGCTCCTGTTTGCGCGAGGCAGCAATGGGGTGGAGCTCAGTCCTGGTGCGATGGGGGGTACATATGCTGAGCGTTTAGCCACGAAACAAAAAGGTTTCTGAGAGGGGTGGGGCGGCAAAGTTGGCACAGGCCACTTCGACACAAGCATGAGGGAGCATAACAGGAATGCGCAGCTTGATGTCGCCGAGAGGAAGGGAGCCGCTGCACGAATGTACAGCATTGCGGCAGCGGTACGCATTGCGGCGATTACGAGCTGAATAATTTAGCTGCATGTGTGTAGATGCAGCTGCATGTGTTTAGATTAAGCATGTCCACACTCCAAACGGCGTGATAGCAGTCAATGCGCAGCGCCTGGCAGGTGGTCAAGGCGGCAAGCGGGAGGAAGAGCGCAGGCGGCAGCAGAAGCAGGGCCTTGAGATGAGCATGTGATGCAGGCCTCATCTCAAGAGGGACCAATCCGTCGTGTTGTGCACCAAGTTCGTTCCCCTGTGGCTTGCAGAGCGCACCAAAGCCACTGGGCGAAGCCAGCAAAGCTGCCGCCGGTGCACAAAAAGTGGCAAACTGAAATTTGTCCAAACACTTAGTCGACACTTATAAGACCCATAATCGACACTTGTAAGACACATGTTCATCCCACAATACCCAGCAAGCGAACAGTGGCCAGGTGCTAACCAACTGCCTGTGTTTGAGTCCGCGCCGCAGTCCCGCCCCAGCGGCCATAGCGCAGCACACGCAGCACGGCTCATTTTCTGCGCCTTGTGGCTCGCCTCTCCAATTCCGCGACTTGGTTCCCCGCTGATGTACTGTATCTTCCTTCAGAACCCTGAACGCAACTGAGCAAGTTTTGGCTTCTCGGGTCGCTCAAATTCGCGCCTGCGTTTCGACTGAGCCCACTGTAGCGCTGCGCAGACGCTGCAGCGTACATCACACAGACAGCCGCCGCCGCCAGCCGTCAACCTGGGCCGCTCCGCCGCCGCCGCCGCTAGGCACCGCCACCGCCGGCAGACAGAATGGTGCATAGCCGGTGGCGCGAGGAGGCTTCATTCGAGACCCTGTCGCGTGCGGGGCACTCCGCGTGCGCCTGGGAGGGCAAACTGCTGGTGTTTGGGGGTGAGCCGGTCCCGCCCAGCCGGCCAGATGGGCAGCAACGGCAGCGCCCTGCCCAGCAGCCGGTCGCATCTGCTGGCATGGTGCAGGCCGCGGTGCCCCGCTGCGCCTGCAGGCAGCCCAACCCCTCCCCTGTGCGTGTGCGTTTGCGCTGGTGCATGGTGCGCGAGTGCAGGCCGCATGAGCGCCACCTTCTTTGCTGACGTCTGGGCATATGACCCCGCCACCCGCTCCTGGGAGGTGTGGTGCGAGCGGTGGCCGCACGCGTCCCGCAGGTGGGCGGCTGGGCCCACGGCTGGCGCCGCCTGCTGGATGGACAGGCGGCGTGGGGTGCTGGGCGTCCACGCCGGGGCCGCGAGGCGCGCCCGCTCCTCCCGTGCAGCTGCCGGCTGCCTGCCCCCGTCCCTGCCCGGCTGCTCTGTTTGCCCCCACTCCACCGCCCGCATTAGTCTCCCTTGTTCTGCCCTTGGCTGCACCCGTGCAGCTATCACTCCACCACCCTAGTCGGCGGCGAGGTGTGGCTGTGCGGCGGCAGCGATGCAGACACGGTGGTGGGCGATGTGGTGGTGTTTGACCCCGCCACGCGCCGCTGGCGCACCCCCGCACTGCGCGGCGACACGGCGCTGCTGCGGCGCACGGCCCACGGCGCCTGCCTGCACCCGGCGCGGCCTGACTGCATCCTGCTGCAGGGAGGCTACGGCGGTGGCACTGGCGGCGCCGCTACCCAAGCCTACAAGTGAGGCAGGCTGCCGTGGCTGGAGGGCGCCCGTGCCTGTGGTCCAGTGCTGCCTCTGCTGCTGCTGCTGCCCGCCGCCCTGCCTCCGACACTGCGCTCCCCCTGCCTCTGCTGCCTGCCGCTGCGAGCGCGGCCTCGCCGCACCTGCCCTGCCCGCCACCAGGCCCCCTGCCGCGCCCTACACCACGCATAGGCACACACACACACACACACACACACACACACACATGCGCCACCTCCTTTCTCCCTGCCCCCCCGCAGCTACCTGGCAGACCTAGTGGAGGTCAACACCCGGACCGGCGTGGTGCGTGGCCTGCGCCCCGCGGGCGCCGCCCCCGAGCCCCGCGCCTACCACGCCTTTGCCCGCCTGGGCGCCTGCTGCTGCTGCGTGGCGGGGCGCAGCCACGGCAACAAGCTGGTCAAGGGCAAGCAGCTGGTGGTGGTGTGGGATGCGGCGGCCAATAGGTGGCTCACGCCAGGTGGGCGGGTGCGCACCATGTGTGGTGGCGGGGCGGGGCTGCTGCGGCGGGCTGCCGGCCTGGGTGGGACCCGCCCTGCGCTGCAGCTAGGAGGTGGCGCCCCGTGTCGGTCTGCGCCTTTGGCTGGTCTTCTGTCGTGCCAAGCGGCTGCCAAGGTTCCGGGCCCTCCCTGCCGCCATCGACCCACGCCTGCGGTGCCTCCACCTCCGACCCCCAGGTGCCCATGCGCTCCCGCTCCCGGCGCAGGCGTGGTGGGCGGCGAGCTGGCGCCGCGCAGCAGCCACCGCGCGGCTTCCGTGCCGGGCGGCATATTGCTGTTTGGTGGGGCGGTGGACCGAGGTGTCAAGGCTGCCGACCTTCAGCTGCTGGCGGCGGGGGCCCACGGGCGGCTGAGCTGGCGCCAGTGCCCGCCGGGCGGCGAGCAGCCAGGCGGTGGCGGCGGCGGTGGCTGGCCTGCAGGGCGGGGCGCGCATGTGGTGGAGGTGGTGGGCGGCAGGCTCTATGTGCTGGGAGGATATGGCGAGGTGAGGGCAGCTGGGGGCGGTGGCGGGGCTGGCTGGTTGGGGGGATGGCATGCCGTGGGCAGCACACGCTGTGCTCGATGCCCAGGGGTGCCTGGTGAGCGCACACAGCGGAGCGTCGGCACGTTGTTGGTGCGGCGGCCGGGGCTCTGCCTGTGCGTAACACTGATGCACCGTGCACCGTGGCACTGATGCACCG